ATAAATAAATAAGAAATTGACTAATCAACACCAAAAGAAAAGAAAGGATGGACAACTAGACTAATTTCAGCCATTTTATGTGCATTCTAGCCTAAAGGCACAGATTAACTAGCCTTCTCTTTGTCTAAGACCTGACTTCTGTCTGAGTACCCAACCAAGTTCAGTGTTTCAACTGTGAAAAGCACTGCTGAAATAGACTGCGCATGCCTCTTGCTTGAATAATACCGTGTATAATACTTCTCATTTGAGCAACATGGACTTATTCCCCGTTTCACCATAATTATATGGCGTATATTTTTTGAAAGAAGCACCGAAGCCAATTTACAGATTCAAAATAATAAATGCTAGTCTAACAGGCTGTTGACGAGAGTGTAAATCCTCTGTTTCATTTCTTGTTGATATATTTTTGGTAATAAAAAATGAATTTTGTGATTATCAACTCTAAATATTTTATATAAAATCTCTAATATCACTTGTGTTGACGACTATAGATATTGATAATTTCTTTAAGTGAATTACAGACAATCTTAAATTGCACCTTAGGAAGCCCTGACACACTAGAGGAAAAGAACGCCCTCAGTTATGTTATCACTGGCACCCCTCACAGACCCCAGATTTTGCACCAAAGTGACGCAATTTGGCCCAGATAGCCACGCTTATGGCGAGACTTGCCCATATACAGGACCACTTTTTATTTCTTTTTAATGAAATGCATGTTCTATTCATAAGAATGTGCTTTGAATACATAAGTTGAAAGTAGCAGTTGACACAATGGCAACACTATGTAGTGACCTGGAAAGAGTAGAGACTACACTGCAATGTATTTTTAATTTCAAATGTATTTATAGAACTTTTCATGTAATGTTTACATAAAGAATATATATAATAAAATAAAAAGATATGTTACACATTCAATACCAATCCAGTATCATTTGTATCATTCCTCAGCTTTCTCTCATACTCTCCCCTTACAAGTTTTAATAGGATACAAATTCATATTCATGGCATGTATTCACTACCTGACATCAATACTTCATTGAATATGATTTCCCTTCACATGCCATCTACCTATTTTGTTTATATATTTGTAAGCAACCTCTTTACAATCACTTAAATCAATGTAAATTTCAAATCATCTGAAAATTCCATTATAATGCTCATTAACATTTTAGCACTACACTGCTCAACATGACAAATTCATTAGTCTCCACTGGCTTTGATTGGATCAGTAATTACAGAACCTTTTCCATTCAATCTGATACATTATCTAAATATTTAAATCTAAAATACAAGATGGTGAACAAGGCCACTAGTAACAACCCAACTGTTATGAGATCTACAGAATAAACAATTGTTTTGGCAAAAATTGAAATAGTGAACAATATGAACATACGGTCAAGATTTTTATCAAATCCAAGCAAATCAGCAAAAAATAAACACAATTTCCTAATCTTTATACATATAGGCCTACCCTCTTTGACAAGATAATTTAATTGGTAAAGTCCGATTATATAATCAGTTACCAGCATTAACACCTATGTGACACTTGTAGTTTCTTTCTTACAACATCTGATTGAGTATGAATGTGATAGCACTTATCATCTATATCATAATGATAAAACTTCATTCTAGTGAATTAATTGTAACTACTTGGGGCCCCAGGCAATAAGGGGGGGGGGGGGTCATCAAGATAAAGAATCATACTCTGCATATCATTCATATCTTAATCCACAATTTCCCTCATTTCTTTCATGCCCTCCCCTGCTATTGGGGCCGCAGATTATTCTGATATATTTGGATAGTAGAGAGTAAGAGGAATCCACTGATACAAAAATTGTTGCTATCAGTTATGTGAAGGTACTCTGAAAAAATACCTTAAGTAGTGTGTTGGCATTTACCAGAGAGCCAAAAGGCACTGAGACCATGGAGGCTGCATGCAGTCTAATAACAAACCTACTAGTGTGTTAGTATCAGTTACTTTACCAATCCTTTCATAAGCATTTCTAACCCAATGGAATGTTCAAGTTTGAAAGCGAAGTTTTAGAAATGATACCAACACAAGAGTTGATAGAAACCAAAATCAAATAAAGCAAATTGTAATGGTTTATTATCCAGAATAAGAGCACACACTATGAAAAAAGAAGCAGAGTTATAAGAAACAATCATAAAACACTTAGGTATAAAAGCTAACTGCACTAAGTAAAACCAACTCCACAAAATACTTATCAGCAGGTCTATGTCTCAAAGGAGTACATGGGCTCCATGCTTTGTGGTCTGGCAATGGTCAACCACTAATATCCTACCATGACAGAGCTTGTGGTAATAACTTACAAGAGGACTGCGCACAGACTGAGAAAAGAAATGTAATGATCATAAAGAATTAGGCATATAATAAAGAGATTCATACATGTAAAGTCCTATTGCTTGGAAATGTCTATGGTTTCCGTACATTTACTTTTGGCAAAGGCCAACAAAATTCTGCCACATACTTTGAAAAGACTGCTTGTAAGCTTGGAAAACATTTGTGCAAATGGTGTAGTGACAAAACAACACAAACTTCTACCAATATCCTAAAAATCTGTAACTTCACATCAACTAATTAACAGTTAGTCAGATAAAAAGCTAGCTTAATGCTTCAAGACATCAGTGAACTTTCTTCTCCGTGCCTCTTTTCTTTGTTCCCCTTCTTAACAAATGTACTGCATTCCCTATCTTACTTACAATGCAAAATGTCAGAAAGATGCACACATGATATAGAAGCTGCCCACATTGGGACGTCAACTGCCCACGGAATTTCTTCCACACATGAAGCAAAGTTATCAGTCTGGCGCCTCCCTAGCAACTGCTAAATAATGAACCAGTCCCCACAATTTTGTCAGATCTATCGACCTTTGCTAGAAGTGCAGAAGCTACAGTATCACTTGAAGTAGTCTTATTCTGTATAAATATCCATAGTGAGCTTGTTAGTTAAAACAAATAAATATATTAGTTAATGTTACCAAGAGCAAAACTCCGAAATAAAATGTAAATGGACACCAATCTTATTGTGCATAAGAAATAAGTCAAACAATACAGGTACAGCTGCTGCACCCTCATATTTACCATGAAATGACTACAATATACCCTGCATATCACCGCTCAGAGACGAAGTCCACAACTCCCTCGTACAGCTAGTTTTTAATGTCAATTTTCTCTAAGTTTCTTTAATCTATGAGTGCTTATAAATTAAAGGTAGGAATCTGCATGATACCCTGATTTTAGGACTTAGTCTCTGGAGGGTCTGTTGCTCTCGTTGACAAATACCAAGAGCTATTTTTTTAATTACCAAATTTCCAAATCACAACCATGTATGTAGAAATGAGAATTTGTGTGTGTGATTTGTTACCAAGAGTAACACAGAGATAGAGTGAATTGGACACCACCATCTTACAGAGCATATGAAATATAGTCAAACAACACAGTTACAGTAACCTCACATCTATCGCAAAATGACGTAAACATTCGCTGCATATCACCGCTCTGAGACTAAGTTCATAACATTACAACACAGCCAGAGTTCTTAATGTATATTTTCTATAAGTTGGCACGAAATACTAATAAAGGGGGGTTAATCTGCATGGTTAGGACGCGCTAAGTTCGGGCAAATTGAGTATGATATTCTAGTAGAGGACAAAAAGCTACACTCATAGGTACAAGATATAATCTGCAGATATGAACAACAATGCCAAAAATGAAGGTAAAAGATCACGCAAAGCATCGCTCTCAGCAAGAGTCCGCTCAGTAGCTCCCAGCTACAGCTTTTGATTGGTCAGCTGACCTGACTTCGGTGAAGCTGTCTAGAGATCCCTGGACAGAGGAGACTAGGGTGACCTTAGCTTTTAATTGATTGAATTTTGGGACCAGTTGGGGACTCTGTCTCTGGTTAGCACGTCTGTACAGCGAAGAATTACCTAAAGGTGGGTACAGGGTGGTTTGCCCCCCTATCTAGAAAATAAATAGAAGCTAGAAAAGATTAGGTTTGGGTTTTAGGGTTCCCATGATACCCTAGTTTTAGGACTTTGTGCTTCGCCCTCATTAACAAATACCCTATGTGAAATGAACAGTTACATATATTGTCAAAGCTCCACTTAAATATATGAGTAAATGAACCGTACAGACCAAAAGTATATAAATATAATGCAAAGCTTTTAAAATAACAAAAACCCTGAACCAACGCGATTCTCTTCATTAAGTTTCCGTTGTCAATTATTCAACGTCACTGCAAAGGCTCAGACCCGTTCATTATCACCATCAATCAGCAATTTTGATTAATACCTCCATTCAATTTTTGACAAACGGCCCGAACTCCCTAAATATTTACGCCAATAAGCGTTTTGTTTTTGCATCCATATTGGTTCTCTTCGCTTCACCTCTTTCTTTTCCTCTCCTCCTTCGGGCGACTGCTCTTCCACTTTCTCAAGAGCTCCACTCTCCGATTTCTGCTCGGTGTCCGACATCGTCAGTCAACTAAATATGATATCGGGGGAGAAGGAGACGGTTAAATTGGCGTTGCAAAGGGAATATGAGTGAAACTTTTGGTTACACTCAGATGTGGATTGACACCGTCTGCCAGCAAATGCCTCGGAAAATATTTATTTTTCTATACGTTTCTTATATTTTCAATCATTTTTTATCTTTATTAATTATTTTAGACATTTAAATATTAATTTAGAATGTAAATAAATTTATTTTTTTCTTTTATCAATTTGGATTTGCTTTAACCGCTGATCAATACGACTGTATCCGAAACCATTGAATAGATAAAATCTTAAATTTATTTCTTTTTTAAACGAAAGGATTTTTCATACATAATATGTAGCAGAATGACAGCTAATCAATACCAATCAATTAATATTACCGAATAACCTTGAATGAATTGGAGAATTACAAATATATATATACATATATGTTCTCACAAATTCCCTATTTCATATTTGCTCTTGTAAACCTGCCATAACACATAATTACCATATCTTGATTAAGGGTTTTTATTCAAGATTTCATGAAGGTTCATAAATCCGAGAAATCCTACAACAATTATGAAAGGATTCGGAATCATCTGCCAGTAGGAGATTGGCCGGCATCATGGCAGCACGGGTGACAAAATCTCTGGTAAGAACACCCATTCTTATGTTTTCATGTGTACTCTGTGTGTGGTCGTGACCTTCTCAATATGAAGTAAATCTTTCAGTTTACCAGTCTTTGAAACATAACCTTATTTAAAAGAAAACGATATAGGGGTTCGTAGGGAAGGTCACCTTGCACATAATGGGTCGCCGCACCGGGTGTATCATTTTCCCGTTTCGTGAATTAAGAGAGATACAGGCTTATAATCTCTAAATTACCATAGGGTCTTGTATCATTTATGATAAATTGTAAATTATAGGATTGAAGACGAGGTAAAAGAATATCCAGTAATGATTGATGTATCGGTCTCCGAGTTGCAATCCCTTTAAAAAGTAAAAGTTGGCATCAAGAGCACATACCTATTTGGTAAATTTGGCAAGGTGATTATCCTTCCTAATTACCCTGCCTGGCTTTTATTCTCACCCCCCCCCCCTCTGCTTCGTATGTGCTTCCCGTTATGAAATCCCTTTGTTATTTGTTGGTATATGTCTTGCTGCTATTTATAGTTATTAGGCCTTCCTCTCCATAGGTGAAGAGAGAGTACTTCATAGTCACAGGTTCCCTAATTTTTATAACTCACCATGGTAGCATTTAGTAGATTTTTAGAATAGATTGATTGTGATTAGAAGGGTGTCTAAGGTTTGCATATAGCTTTAGTTCATATAGCAGTCTTTGTGGTAGTTGGGTGTTTAACATGGGGTTCATTCATCTGTTTCTTCAAGCTGGGGACTTTGTCTCAGACAGGTGTAGTTCTTTTGTAAACTTAAAAGCGTGGTTCAACTGGTCTTGTGTACACATAGGTCTGGCCATAATCGTGGCTATCTGGATAGAAACGCGTCACTTTGGTGCAAAATCTGGGGGCTGAGGGGAGCCAGCAATAATACTACTCGGACCATTCTTTTTCCTCTGGTATCTCTGGGCTTTCCAGGATGTAGCTTAAAATTATTTTCTATAATTTGTTTACCTATAGCTACCACTTTTTGTTCTCTCCAAGAGTACGATTTTCCATTTGCCCTTGCAAAGTGGGTCCAGACTCTTAAGATTAACCACCGCATGTAGGTGTAAATTCACAAACAATCATTGTCATCCTCTTAAAAAGGCAGTGCATGTGTGATATAATTCTTTACCTCAATATGGCAACTGAGTGCAGGTTTAGGAATGAATAATCATGTTTTGAAAGTTTGTTTCATTAAGCAATATTCATGGATTCCTAGGAGTGCCACCAAACTTGTTGGCTGGAATAATAGGGATGCAGACACTTTAAATACAATTGTCTCAATGTTAGCACTATTACACCAAACTGTTGCAAATGCGATACTAATTCCCATATTTCCTCATTTATTGGAGTTAGTAATGAATGGTTACCTTGGTAGCATAAAGTATATGGTTGTAATATCAATTATTGTTTCACAAAATTATTAATTCTTTAAAGTACAGAAGTACTCACCAGAGATTTTCGTAAATTCCATGTCACAAAATCTAATAATCTAAGTTCACGTGACTTAGCATGCCCTTCGTGCACTGCCTGTGGGGAAAGTTGATGCGAGGCTCTGCCCCGGACACTCTCAGGGAAACTGTTTTCACCTTGGTATGCATAGTAAGAGATGAAATTCTGGTGCACCAGTAAACTTAGACTGTTTGTGGCATTTTCTTGGATCTTTATTCCTTTATTATTGTATTATTTTTCCTGTCTGCATATTTCTTGTACTGATGACTGCAACTTTTTGTCCCCTATACGAATATCAGCTTCAAATTGTCTTATCCTATTTGGGGTTAATGTTGCACATAGAAATGGTAGTTGTGCAAGTTCACTTCTCTTAAATAACTCATTTATTCCTCAGAGCTGAAAGTTAGATTCCAAACCGGTTGTCAAGTCTTTCAACAAACCTGAATAGAACTGTCATTTATAACTCCTTTTATCAATTTCTTATTAATGGACACCCATTACTTCGCATTAGTAAAGCGTGAATTCTTCTTTTTAAATTCACTTAAGATTTGTTAATGACATGGTGATATTCTTTAAGGAGACCTTCCTTCAATTTTTTGCCAGTATAAGTCAAGATATGAAAAATGAGGTATAGCTATTTTTGAATATGTGTACATCTAAACAGTTACCCACATGAATTATGTCTAGTATTAAAGTGCCATAACAAGGGCAACTCCTACTCCCTCAGTCGGTGCCCATAGTTTAATATTTCAGCTTTTCTGGTCTATGCTTTTCTTGAATACAGACAGAAAATAAGGGTTCACAGGAATTTGCATATAAACAAATAATAGTGAAGTTGCTAATTTAAAATTTTTATGATCTCTCACTCAGATCAACAACAATTTTATTCATTTATTTATTTTATTTTTATTATTATTTGTAGATTTTAATTGTCACATTTTGATTTAAAAAATGGTATTATAAAATTAAATTGTTTTTTGCATTTAGGCAAATCCAATAATTGGTGATAAATTTTGGGAAGTTGATGAAAATTTTGATGGCTCCTCTCCCACAGTGTTTATTGGATTTAAAACAATAGAAATACCAAAATCCTTAGAAAAATATCAAAATGCAAGAGGATTAATCTTTTGGATTGTGGAATTTTTGTAATAATGATATATGGGTATTTTCTCTGACCCTAAAATAGATATTTTGGTCATTCCACATGGTGTATTCATATGAAAATACTAAGCTCTTAGAGGAAGATTTAGGGATTTAGAATTTCCTCATGATTTTGGGTTTTTATCTCCTGTTTGTGAAAATGACTAACATTCTGTAGGGCAAATATCAAAACATTCAAAACAAATAGATAAAAAGTTACTCATAAATAAAGATTCTCTAGGAATACTTCATGATATCGGTATGTTTTATGGTTTTGATGTTCTCAGTATATGCTTTGGTTAAAAAATTTTTTTTTTTTTTTTACAGCTTAACTATTTTCGCTCAGCTGGAAGTCGCCAGTTCAGTAGTGATGTCCGGACAGTTACCCTAATCCCAGGAGATGGTATTGGACCAGAAATCTCTGCTGCAGTTCAGCAGATATTTACAACTGCAAATGTAAAGTTCTCTACATATAATCCCATATTAATATATTTTCTCACATTTTATTTGTAGATAAGTGTCCATGATATTTATTACATAGTATAATTCTCATAGACTGTGTAAATGCTGTCAATGTATGCACTTGTTTCACTTTTTCTTGTACTTGTAGGTTCCCATTACATGGGAGGAGGTTGATGTGACACCAGTAAAGGGCCCAGATGGCAAATTCGGCATCCCACCAGCTGCCATTGAGTCTGTGAACAGAAATGGAATTGGACTGAAGGGACCCCTCATGACACCAGTTGGCAAAGGTCATCGTTCTCTCAATCTTGCCATCCGTAAGGAGTTTAGTCTTTACGCAAATGTACGTCCTTGCAGAAGTATGGAGGGATATGAGACTCTCTATAAAGATGTGGATGTGGTGACAATCCGTGAGAACACAGAAGGAGAATATTCTGGAATTGAACACGAGATTGTTGATGGTGTCGTTCAAAGCATCAAGCTCATCACAGAACCAGCATCCAGGCGTGTTGCAGAGTATGCTTTCCAGTATGCACGCAACAATGGCAGGTTAGCATTATTAAAAAATTATAAGATTTTGTTATCAGATTTCATATGCAATAGCTATAAGCTTGTTGATAGTGCTCTATGATGTTTATACAGTTGTAATTAACATTCATACTTTTAACATCTTTTACTATGTTGACATGCCAATTAACAAATTTGTCAATTCTTGCAGATCAAAAGTAACAGCTGTACATAAGGCTAACATCATGCGCATGTCTGATGGCCTCTTCCTGCGATGTTGCCGAGAAGCTGCTGAAAAGAATCCAGACATCAGGTTTGAAGAGAAGTATTTAGATACTGTGTGCCTTAACATGGTACAAGATCCCTCACAGTATGATGTCCTCGTGATGCCAAACCTCTATGGTGACATCTTATCAGATCTTTGTGCTGGGCTAGTTGGAGGTCTCGGTCTTACTCCTTCAGGAAATATTGGTGAGGGAGGTGCTGTATTCGAGTCTGTCCACGGAACTGCTCCTGATATTGCAGGTCAAGACAAGGCCAATCCTACTGCCCTCCTGCTGTCAGCTGTAATGATGCTGCGCTTTATGGAACTCCATAATCATGCTGCTGTTATCGAGAAAGCCTGTTTTGAAACCATCAAGGAGGGCAATTTCCGTACAGCTGATTTAGGTGGTTCTGCCAAGTGTTCAGAGTTTACAGGTGAGATCTGTAGGAAGATTGAAGAAATGAGTGGTTAGAACTGGGGACTAGGATTGTTATTTATAGTAGTTGGCATAGATAGTATTATAAAACGATAAGAAGTGTTTATGGAAAAAAGGAATATGACACAATTCTAAGAGATCAAATATGTAGAAGGTATGAGAATTAAGTAGAGTATACTGCAGTAAACTTAGAAGGTCTAAGGTAGCAACTTACATTTGTGGTGAATTTCTTTTAGTTTATCTTTTTTATAGTAAAGGGAGCTTATCATGTATTGATGAAGCAAGTGATCTCAGTAGGGGTCTGTACACTAGATAGAATCATGACCATTTTGTTTTTGCCGGTACATTGTTTTATAAAATATTTATTTTCAAATAATTTCTTCACATGTCATTTCCTAATCTATATGTATTTTAACAGTCCTATCTGTATCTTTTTAAAATATATGTGAACCTATGTGTGTGAATAAATATGTATGTATATTATATATATATACATATATATTTACATATATATTTACATATATATTTTCATATATATATGTATGCATGTATGTATGTATGTACATGTATAAACATTTTGGACATACATACATACATGTTACATGCATACGTGTAACATGTACAAGCACACACATGCACACACAAATGTACATGCACATGCACATGCACACGCACACACGTGTACACACACCCATGTACATACATATGAATTACTTGCTTTGATATGTTATGAGGCAGTACACAACAGATAATAATGCATTTATGAGAAAGTATCAGGTTTTTTTTATGTATTATAAATGTTAAGTATTTATGTAAAGATAAGTGCAGGTACCTTAAAATATTTAATTCGAAATTGGACCAGAAAGGCAGTGAATTCCATGTAAGATTGACTACCTAATTATTGTTATTTGTATATACTATATGATCTGTACAGAAATAAAGTTTTAAATATGACTTCTTTTTACTATTTTTTCAACGTCTTTGAGAGACTGATCGAAAGATTAATTGTATGAAGGTATGAAAAGGAAATAATTTTTAAATAAATCCCAGATATACAGTATTCACATGAAAGTGGTCACACATTTCACTTACTTTACATGTGTTTCCCCAAATCCCATGCCTGTTGTTTTTGTGAAGGTGGGATAAGAGACGGACTGAGGCCCAGAGATGGGGATCTCCCCTGCCTTGGCCTTCAGACCTCGGCTCAATTGATCTTACTTATTTTTTTCTCTCTCTCTCCCCCTTTCCTTTTCCTTCTCTTCTCCAATCCCTTCTGTCGAGTACTTCCACTTAAGGAGACCGTCACTCTGAATTTTGTTTATTTTTATTTATTTATTATTATTTTTTTTTTACAAAAAATTAAATGAGGGTGATTTGACAATACTGCCCAATATTGTGGCGACCTTTTATAGGGAAAGGATGAAAACTAGAAAATACTGCCAAATGTTGTGGCGAACTTTTATAGGGAAATGGTGAAAACTAAAAACAATAGCCTTTTTTTTAACCCATGTGCGGGGACGAACATCACTTGGAATGAAGACCCTCCACTCCACAGCATTAAGAATCTCTACCTTGCTAAGATGTCATATGAGAAGCTCGAGTGCATGTAGGAAACCTACCGAGAACTTACCAGAACGACCCCCCCCCCCCCACTATTCTCACTCCCTCCTTCCTCTTTCACTATTTTTACTGACTCCCGTAACTCATTAACCCTCATAAAATCTATGCACTCGACCAATCCCCTTGTCTGTCATTTCCAGAACTGGTGGTTCTAACTGTCCAACACACCACAAATCTGTCAGACTTTGCTGGGTGCTCAGCCATGTTGGAATCCCTGGCAATGAACAAGCAGATACTCTAGCACGCTACGCCGTTATGTCCACATCAAACCAACCACACTTTTCACATATTCCAGTCACGGATTATTACCCCCACTTTAAAACCTTCCTGTATACCCGATGGCAATCTTTCTGGTCAAGCCTCCACAATAATAAATTACATACTGTAAAACTATCAATCTCCTCATGGTCTGCTCCATTTCACCGGAACAAACGTTGGGAGACGGCCCTCGAAAGCTTATTGGCCACACCCGCCTATCTAATGTTACGCTCTGATCCGCCTCTATGTCTCCTATGTAATGTCCCTCTTTCAGTTCCACACATTCTGTTGTCCTGTCCACACTTCACTACAGCCCGCATATCTGGTTTGCCCCCCCCCCCCCCAATCCCTTGCCCGTTGTTGTCGTGGGGGCTTAGGAGACGAAGACTGAGACCCAATACAGGGATCTCCCCTGCCTAGGGCCTCAGCCCTCGACTCAACTAATTTTGCATGGTCTTTTCCCTCTCCAGCTTTTGTTTCCGTCCCTTCTCCAACCCCTCTACTATCTACTTCCTAAGGTGTAAGAGCCGTGCTGAAAGGATGAAAGGCTGACCTTGTGCCAGTCCTGAACGGCCTGCGGAAACTAAGGGCACGATACTCCCGATTTATTATCTAGCCCTTACCTTCAAGTGCAAGAGGGTGGACCGTTAATGCCGTTTTATATAATCAAGGTTCCCCATGACCAGTAATGAAGATGTAATACCCTTATTAGGGACAATGAGGCTTGCCCCTTTATCAAATAGCCCCACCCCAGGCTCTCCTTTGACCACGACTCCGAACACTGCAACTACTACCCACTCCTCAATGCCTACTAGTGCATTACCCACCCAAGCAGAGACTCCTGACATTCCTACCCTCCCAACTACCTCAAATTCAGCAACTCTACCCCCACAACCTTCATCAAGCACCCCATTCTCCCTTATTACTACCTTACAACCTTATTCTCCATCACTCCGTAATAGTCCCTCTTCCACACGTCCCAAGACCATCCACCACCACCAACCCTACAGATATCTTAAATACTTTGTTTAGCCCAGCTAAATGAGTCCCTTTCTATACCAGACGCGATCGCTCCCGTCTGGTAAGTCAGATCAGAAACTGAATCTATAGCACTATCAAATTTAACTGATCATTCTGGCAACCCCATTCCTGCAGAACCTCATCCAACCCTTAATACTTGTACCGGAACTGTCTCTCTCTCCCCAGCAAACTGCCCAGTCGATACTAAAGATTAGTCAGACTGTGGAGAAGACTTATTAGGATGCCTCAAGGACCAAGATGTGAAATCAGTACATTGCTACACCATTCCTCCTAAAGGTCAACGAAAGAATCCGACCAACATTGCCAAAATTACTTTCCTTTCCTTACGTATCTACATTGGTGGACAATCCCTCCCTGTTCGACCATACCAACCCCCTCCCGGTCGATGTCAAAACTGCTGGCGCTTTGGACATCCTGCCAAACACTACCGTTCCACAGACCGATGCCCCATATATGCCCAATCTGGTCATAACCGATCAAAATGCTCAGCACAAACACGTACATGTGCTAACTGCGGCGGCCCCCATAATGTATTTTATAGAGGCTGTCCCACTTACAAGTTTGAATCTGAGGTAGCAACTCTCAGATACAGACATGGTCTCACTGGTCTCACTTTATGTGAAGCACGTCGACAAGGTTTCTCTCATACTCCATACTATAGTAACATCGTTCGCTCAGCCCTTCCCCCTCCACCCCAAGATGTCCCCATTTTCAGACCAATTCCTTTGACACTCTAAACCCAGACACCCCAATCTCAACCATAGCTCCAATCTCAACTACAGCCCCAACCACTTCTACATTCTACCTCCCTCAGACCAATTTTTTTGCTACTCTAAACCCAGACCCCACCAATCTCAACTACAGCCCCATCACCACCCCCTCTCCCTCCCCGCGCTACCCGCAGTAGACAGACTAAACGTTCTAACCCTTCTTCCCTTACAGCACAATCACCTCCACCTACCTTTACCTTTATTCCTGAGACACCAGTCTCCTCTTCCCCCCTCATAAGAAAACCTTTGTCCCACAAAACTCTCCAACCAACTCCACTGCAGAAACAATGGATGACATTCAAAGCTATATGCTTAAGACACAAGATCCCATAACTCATGCTCCTTCCACACTTGAAGTAATTGCCGATATTCATACCCCTCCTACTAATATTCCCCCTACACCCCTTCCTCCTACTCCATCTCAACACAACCTAACCCCCTCAATTCCGTCCACCACCGATATCCATCCTCCCAATACCCATCCTCCTGATATCCATCCCCCTCTTATTCACAGCACCCCTACAGCCGTTCCTCCTAATCCCTCCCAAGACAACACATCCCCTTCAACTCCAACTATCCATCCTTCCGATATCCATCCTCCTACCACTAATACTCCCCCCACACCACTTCCTCCTACTCCCTCCCAACACAACCTACCCCCTTCAACTCCAAATATACGCACATTCTCCCTTCCTCCATCCCCTCTATCCTTTCCACTCCCTCCCGCATACACACAGGAATCATTCATGTTACAACACCCCCTAGCTCCTTCCCCCCATATTCCCCAACACGTACCGACGCTATCACTCATAAAACAACTAAGATATAGCTCTCCTACATTGGAATATTCGCAGTTTCCGTACTCACAGACCAGACCTACGTCATATCCTTGCTTCTTATAACAACCTGTTCTTTCTCAGACGCATAAATACCCTTCACGTGATCTAATTCCCTTACCTAAACCACCATAACCCTTTCCCTCATCAACACGCTTACCCATCTTCAACTTTCCAACATTACTCTAGATGACGCATAGCAACTATCACCTAACTATACTCCCCTATAGTGCTATGTGATCTTAGAGGTCTAGCACATTTATTTCGCTTTTAACCATTAACCATTAACCATTGCCCCACATATCCTCCCTTCACCGACCTCCCGACAAGCTTTACAGAAAACCACAGCTTCTGCCTTGACCTGTTCTCCTTCCTCAGACGCATACATATCCTTCACTTGATCTAATTCCCTTACCTAAACCACCATAACCCATTCCCTCATCAACTCCCTTACCCATCATTAACCATTCAACATTACTCTAGATTAGCAACTATCCCCTGCCACCACCCTTTACTTTACGTTCCTATAGTGCAATTTCGCTTTTGACCATTTACTATTTTTATCCTTTTCTTTCCCAACCCCTTCTAGTATCCACTTCCTAAGGTGTGAGAGCCGTGTTGAAAGGATGAAAGGCTGACTGTGCCAGTCATGAACGGCCTAGGGGAGTCATGGGCACGGTATTCCCGTTTTGTTGTCATAGCCCTTATCCATCTATGGGTTGACCGTGTTACTCCCAAACATACTCCAGGCATACTATGGCCGGTGATGACGTCCATTCCTTA